GGCACATGTGTTCGGACCTTTGAATCAGATGAGTCAAAACTGCTAGAATACTGGCAGGGTCCGTATGAGGTCATCCGCCAGACAGGCCTCATCAACTACAAGGTCCGACAGCCTGACCGGAAAAAGAAGTGCCCTGTTTACCATGTTAATCTTCTGAAACATTGGTGCGAAAGGGAAGGGCTGTTAATAATTCTGCACCCCCCGGAACCCAAACTGGGGCCACAGACCCCCGTGGGAACAGAACCTGAGATGCTCAGGGATACACTCTCGGAAGAGCAGCTAAAGCAGGCCATATGTCTTATTGAGGCTTTTCCTAGGACTTTTACTGCTGTGCCGAGAGAGACCACCCAGATCCACCATACCATCTACACCAAACCCAGAGAAGTTGTCCATGGAACAACCTGACTACTCCTGTGGTCCCATGCGGGACACAGTAGAGCAGGAGGTCTAAGCTATGTTAGAACTTGGGGTCATCGAGCAGTCCTCTAGTGAGTGGCTGAGCCCTATCGGGCTCATCCCTAAGCTGGAGGGTTAATGCAATTTCTTGATTCGATGCCTACCTGATGCCATGGGTAGACGAGCTCCTTGATCGACTAGGGGAGGTATAGTATGTTACTAACCTTGATTTAATGAAGGGATACTGGCAGATCCCACTGGAGCCCAGCTCAAAGGAAAAGACAGCCTTCACCACCCCCAGTGGACTCTACCAGTTTACCAAGTTGCCCTTCGGTTTCCACATGCTCCCTGCAATGTTCCAGCACTGAATGGACCATCTGCTGCAACCCCCCGGTGAGTATGATGCAGCTTACCTGGACGACATGGTCATATACAGTCGCCACTGGGAGGACCACCTGAATCCAGTGGCGGCTGTCTTGAGGAGCCTCTGAGGGGCAGGTCTCACTGTGAACCCCAAGAAATGCCAGATTAGGTGGTAGGAAACAACTTACCTAGGATACACCTTGGGGTGAGGCAAGCTGCGCCCCCTACTCAGAAAAATCCAGACGATCCAGGATCACTCGGCCTCAACCACTACGAAACAGGTCTGGCAATTCCTGGGACTAGTGGGGTACTATCGGCGCTTCATCCCAGACTTTGCAACCATTGCCGCTCCCTTGACTAGGCTGCTTACCAAAGACCATGGAGGGGATGGTATGATGGGATAGCCTAATTTTGGCAATTAATTGATCTTTGATTATTAGCAGGTAAATATGCCCAATGGTCTGTGATAGGATGTTAGATGGGGTGGGATCTGAGTTGCTACAGAGAATTCTTTCCTGGGTGCTGGCTGGTGAGTCTTGCCCACATGCTCCGGGTTTAACTGATTGCCATATTTGGGGTCGGGAAGGAATTTTCCTCCAGGGCAGATTGGCAGAGGCCCTGGAGGTTTTTCGCCTTCCTCTGCAGCGTGGGGCACGGGTCACTTGCTGGAGGATTCTCTGCACCTTGAGGTCTTTAAACCACGATTCGAGGACTTCAGTAACTCAGACATAGGTTAGGGGTTTGCTACAGGAGTGGGTGGGTGAGATTCTGTGGCCTGCGTTGTGCAGGAGGTCAGACTAAATGATCATAATGGTCCCTTCTGCCCTTAAAGTCTATGAGTCTATGATCAGCCACTGTGGGTGCAGTGGAACCCTGACTGCAAGGTAGCCTGTCAGGCTCTGAAAGACCATGTATTCCGAGAACCCATACTATATAGCCCTGATTTTACATGCTGGTTCATTGTCCAAACCGACGCTTCAGCGGTGGAAGTAAGGGCTGTCCTCTTCCAGGACATTGACAGTGAAGAGCACCTGGTAGTATACATCACCTGTAAGCTGTTCCTGCGGGAGTGGAACTACTCAGCAATTGAGAAAGAGGCTCAACTTGTCTGGGCCATAGAAGCGCTTCACTACTACCTCCTCGGGAGCCCCTTCATGGTAGTGACAGACCATGTGCCACTGAAATGGCTCCAACGGACGAGACATATCAACACCTGGTTGATGCGCTGGTACCTGACTCTATATCCATTTGCCTTTACCATTCAACATTGAGCCAGTAAGGAGCACACCAATGCAGACACATTGTCACGACTGGAGGAAGGGAGACTTGGAGCTGGGCTGACCAGACTGGGAGCTGGGCTTGAGGGGTGTGTGTGTGTGCGTGTGTGTGTGTGTGTGTGTGTAGCAAAGAGACATGGCCCCCCTTGGAGATTGACAGTGAGGTACAGCCAGATGCCCCTGGTGGGCAGAACCAGGAAGGTCATGCTCACCACACCGGAAGTAGAGGGGACAGGAACAGAAAGTATAAAAGGCGGGCCCTGTAGCTCAGTTGTGCAGCATCTGTCAAAGGAGATGGATGTGTTCTCCCCATTGTTGATGCAAGAGCCCACAGAAGACTTCAGTTACCCTGAGGACTCACCCGAGCTGCCAGACCCAACCAATGCTGAGGAGCCATTGGGGTTGCCACTGGCGGTGTATCCTGAAGAGAGACCAGACTCTCATTGCATCGAGGTACCAAAGCTAGAGAGAGTAGGAAGTAGCCCAGGGAAACTAGACAGCAGTATGGTTAAGTGCTGGCCTGTTGTGGGTGGATCCCTGCTGACCCGTGGCGGACCACTCCGCCACTGTTAAGATCCTGGGCTGGGACGCAGTGGAGTTGAGTGGGCCTGTGTCCCACTACCCGCTGGGGTGGCAGCCTCCCTAGAAGGCCTGTGAGAGTCTACGGTCCACTGAGCTAGGATGCTGGACTGTGTGGGGTGCTCACCCCTTGCCGGAGCCCCCTAGACTGTGTGTGGGGCTCATGCCTCCCTGAAGGCTGGGCTCCTAGACTCTTACCCTGCCTGAGGGTTGGCGCTCTAGACTGCTTGGTGCCCCGTCCTGCCTAAGGGCCTGGGCCCCTGAACTGTTCACTGCTCTACCGTGCCTGAGGGTTTGAGCCCTAGAGACAGCTAATTTCCCCCTTGTACAGACTGCCATTCTAGGTGCGTGACAGCAAAGAAGATTCCCTTCAGAGATTTACGGTGAGGGACCACCACTCAGACCTACATGTGTTCACCAAATAAGGACACTCTATGAGAGAAGTAGATTGCATTATTCATATATGGAGATATATCTATCTCATAGAACTGGAAGGGACCCTGAAAGGTCATCGAGTCCAGCCCCCTGCCTTCACTAGCAGGACCAAGTACTGATTTTTGCCCCAGGTCCCTATGTGGCCTCCTCAAGGATTGAACTCTCAACCCTGGGTTTAGTAGGCCAATGCGCAAACCACTGAGCTATCCCTCCCACCCCATTATGGAATGAGCTACCCAAATACCCTGGGAAACTGCTTCAATACAGGGAAAAAATACTGATTGCATACAACTAGTTGTCATCTGCAATCCCACACTGAAACCCATACATGGTATCACCAAGCAATTAAAACCCATAGTCGATGGGAATCACATCCTGAAAGAAATCTTTCCTGAACTCTCTCTTCTATTCTTCAAACAACCCCACAACTTTGCCAACCTCATCAGAAGCAAGGTACCCACAGACCAGGGCCTATCAACTCAAAGTGCCACCAGCTCCTGCCATAACAGATGCAAAACCTGTATATGTATCTCCACTGATATGATGATCAATACTCCCCATGCCACCTGTTTCAAGATCCATCAGTCCTACACATGGCTATCACAACATGTGGTGTACCTCATCCAGTGAACTAAATGCCCCAATAGCAACTAGGTGGATGAAACCAGGCAATCACTATGCTTTCAAATGAACTCACACAGAAAAATGATGAAAGACAAAAATCCTATAAACACTTTTCACAAAATGATCACTCCATATCTGATCTCTCAGTCCTTGCCCTCAAAGGAAACCTGCACAACACCTTCAGAAGCCTGGGAGCTTACATTCATAACTTTGCTAGACACTAAGAGTCATGGTATTAATAAAGACACTTTTATAATAAACCATGAATCTGATCTGTAACCCACTAAGCACCCTTTTTTGTCCTATGACTTAACAGGCTACTTCACCTTCAATGGTCTCTTACAATATGTGTTAACAGTTTATGCTAAACAATTGGTTCCACCTTGTATTTAGCTGTGATACTCAGAGTACCTTTCCCAGCCCTGAAGAGGAGCTCTGTGGAGCTCGAAAGCTTGACTTTTTCATCCACAGAAGCTGGCCAAGGAAAAGATATTACCTCACCAACCTTGTCTCTCTAATTTTAATTAAGAATTTTATTTTCAAATCGATTGTATAACTCACTGATGTTGAGATGCAAAGTTTAAGGATGTTCAATGGAAAGTGGATGCAGCATTCTTTTAAACTGGTTTAACCAAATGTAATTTTTTAAGTACAAATGTCTGTTTTTGTTAGAATATGTAAGTGAGAAGGCAGCACACTGAAAAGATACCTTTTGATTTTTGCTTATGAAGGGCTGGGTGCAATTTCTATCAAAGGTTAGACAAATGTTAACATCTACTGGACAGTATTTTATTAAGCCAAAACTTGCTGCCATTTGATGGAAGACAGATTTTGTTTAAGGGTATGACTAATAAACAACCATGTATGTTCTGAAGAAGTGTGTAGTTGTCATGATAATTGAGAGGAGTGCATAATACATTGCTGCTGTATCCATTCAACACATGAGGCATATGCCGTGCAACTCGCAGTCATATTAAAGTGGAATTGTTTGGCTGAAGGTCTGTACAAACTTATAATATTCTTTAGTGCTATATAATCACTATGAATACAGATTTACAGCTTTAATAGATTTGGTTAATATTTTCATGGAGTCTGAAACCAAAACATTCAGTTTTAATTTGTCATTAAAAGAGTGTTTTTTCATTGTTAGTTGAAAATTAACCTTAATCCAAAAGTTTGCATGGCTTGACCATTTTGTTTTAATGACTTCCTGATCTACACTAAAAATGTATATAGCTTTTTTATAAACAATGTCATGAAATGTCTTGCCCTCAGAATACAGATATTGTCACTGTTAACTGCAAACTATCTGTCCTGTCATTTCAGGAATACCAAGAGTTGCTCAGTGTAAATTTAGACTACCCTTGCGATTAATTTGCTTTCCAGCTCAACCTTCAAAAACAGCAAACCACAAACTAACTATTGATACCAATAAACCTCCTGTCAGTCTTGTGAACCTTTTCCCAGGTAGGACTTTTGATGGTGATGTGTCTGTAACATAAGAAATGTTCGGAATTCAGATTGGAATCTTTCATCATGAAGAAAGGATAGGGTAATTATAAGATAATTGCCAAATGATAAATACATAGCTGAATATTTTTGGTTGGCTTTAGTGTACGAAGGTATGATGTGTATTATCAGGATAAATCAATGTAGGGCTTTAAATTTTGTTAAAATATTATCATAATTATTATGGTTTACTGCATGGAAACCAACGTATCAAAATGCTTCATTTGTGACTCTGATGTTGCATTACTTCAAGTGTGACTATTTTTCCTTTAATGTATGTATCAATTTTCAAATGTATTTAAGCTTCAGGTAAGTAATCCTATAAAGACTTGCCTTTCTGGGTTTTTGTGTCTTCTGCATTTAGGTTTCAGTATAGGTTCCAGTGTTATCTGAAAGCTTTGAAAATTTTTCCCTGTTATGAGTTTGTTTTATAGATATTTTTTTAAAATAGTGCATTTTATTTTATAATTTTGTTTCACATCAATATTATTTTATTGATCAAATTGAAAAATGTAATAAGACAGTTTTCAAAAAGGGAAACCTACGTAGAGCAAAATTTACAATTTGTCCAACCGCCCCAAAACAGTTTGTACTGGTCCAGAACAACACATATATTTACAGTATTTAAATAAAACCTATGTTGCAGACTTGTAGCCAAAGGTGTGCATCAAATTGTGTAGCTTTAAATTCATCTTTTTTTTACAGTGGCTGAATAAGGAGCTAAATATATCCTCTTTTGATCTATGAGGAAACTGTGGGTTTGTGTGGGTCCATTAATGCATATTGGCTATTCTCTCCCCTCCTCCTTCTGATTTTTTTGCGATGATGGTGGAGTTATGTACATACCTTGGTCCAGCCCTTTTAAAACCAGGTGTGCTTTACAGTGCACTACATACAGTACTAAAATTGCATAGTAGCTAATTTAACAAGGTAAATGGTGAAGAATGACTATGTACTGAAAGATGAGACTGAACTCTGAAAATCTAAAGGTCTTTTTCCAATAGGTTATAGAGTTGTGGGGTTCATCTGTGAAATTTCCACAGAACTTTGAGTAGAGGGCAGTGTGGAATTGCATCTCCTCAGGGGGAGCATTCTGGAGGTACAGTCTCTTCTGGGGCTGCACAGGATTCACCCTGTACTATCTTAGGGGATGTTGCAGATTGAAACCCACAGTGCCCTGGTCATATTCTGTTAGGGGGACCAAACAAAGTGTGAAAAATCTGGACGGGGGTAAGGGGTAATAGGAGCCTATATAAGAAAAGACCCCAAAATCGGGACTTCCCTATAAAATCGGGACATCTGGTCACCCTATGTTCTGTGGACTGGTGCATTGAGTGGGAGAAGGGGCCCTGGCCATGCTTTATCTCTGCCTCTTTCTGGATTACTTACTTCCTGAAGGCAGCATGGACTAAGCAATCTCCACTCACAGGGATGGCTGTTGTTCTCTGCCTTGCATGACTCCTGTATTACCTGTGCAAAGACAGTCTACCCTTTAATGTGGATCAGAAGTTTGCTGCAATCTTTTACTGAATTATAACAAGATACTTATGTAGTTTATTTTGAATTTTCTCTTGTAGACTTTGCTGATCAGCCTGATGAAGATCAGGTAAATGTTCTGGGATTCCAGTTCTTAACTGGTTCTAGAATCACTCTTCTTGCTTCAAAAACCTCACGTGAGTAATATTGGAAATAATTTAATTATGGATTAAGATAAGATTATGGGCCAGATCATAAACAGGTGTGTGTATGCTGATTTCAACCAGCTGAGTGTCTGTCCATATGTAGTATATTAGTTGCTGCATGGAGAATTTTACACAGAAGTTCTGTTAATGCGAATAGGCAGTCCCTGAACAAATTCCCTGAACCTTCCAATAATATTTTAGCGAAGCAAGGAAATGCTGAAACTAAACAAAATCCTCCTTAGTTATCGTATAGTAGTTTTCTGAAAATCACTAAAAGGGCGCCAGATAATTTGTGTTTTTTTAAGTTAATGCATATACATTTTATAATGTCATAGGTCTTTATTCAAGACTGAAAAATCTTTTTTTTAGCTTTTAGCTAGGTATTTAGGTGCTTCAAGATACAGATAGGCATCTGGTGGGATTTACAAAACACACAAGCAGGTTAGGTGTCTAATTCCACTTAATTTTCCATGCCCCTTGACTTTCAGTGGGAGTTAGAGAAACACCTAACAGATTAAGCACCTGTCTACATTTTTACATGCCTAAATGCCAAATTTAAAAACTAAAATACTTGTTGCCCACTACTGAGTTCAAACTGGAGGACATAGAATGGATGATATATGAACATTATCTTGATTAAGTGACAGACAGTAAAGCTAGTTTGTTGATCTGCAATATTTTTATCCAAATAAAATTACAATTATAAAAATTGGAGTTACGGACACCTCAGGAATGGAGATTGTCTGTAACTCTGAAATGTTCATAACTCTAAACAAAATCCAGCTTCAGCTCCAGCTGGTCAAACTCTGGGCCAGGTTCCAGAGGCAGCTAGGCAGCTTCCTTTCAGACAGCTTCTTTCCCTGGCCCGGACAAACATGTATCCCCCTCCTTGCCAGGGTGGAGAGGTGAAAATAGTGCGTTTCCCTCCTGGTGGAGTGTGGGGGAGGAGGGTGAAAACAGCACCCTGGCCTACAGGAAAGCAGCGCAGACACCAGTGCTGCTCCTGGTCCGGCTGCCTTGGACTGGCAGCGGGAGCTCACAGCTTTGCCTGTGAATCACAGCATCTTCACTTCCTAGCTGTAAGTGGGTGCCCCGTGTGTGGGGGTGGCGATAAGGGTGTGGAAAGGCACCTTTCAGATGCAATACAGGCACAGTACAGTATTTGGTTGGGTTTTTTGGTCTGTGGTGCTGCCTGATTGGTTACTTCCGGTTTAACATGGTGTCCAGTTGACCAGTCAGTTCGTAACTCTGGTGTTCGTATCCTTGAGGTTCTACTGTAATCCAAATCACTAAGAAATATGTGTTTTTAAAATAATTTATTCAAGATGGCTTTTATAAATATCAGTGGCATCAAGGTAAAGCATTCTAAACTGTGAGAAAATACTTAATACTTCTTTAATACCATCAAAGCCATTAAAGACTGGAAACATCTGGACAGTGGTTATTAAAGACCTTTCACAATATCAGTCATTTTACATTTATAGTATTCATATTTGTTTGAATTAGGTTGTGTGCACTATTTGTGTGCTGTGTTTTATTGTTTGTTGACTTTTAATATTTGTTTAAGTTGACAGTAGAATTTAAACAGTTTGAAATATCTGGAACATTCAGTAATAGTTTCTAGGAACCAAAGAATGTAAAGGATATATAAATAGAGTTTTACTTATAAACTGAAGTTAAAATCAGTTACTTAGATTCCTATTTTATGGAATTGTTGTATTAAACATTTCACATGTATGGAATAGATCCATGTTGACTTACATGAGTTGATGATCTGACTGGCTAGACTGAATGTATTTTAACGTTTAATGAGGACATGCTTTTCAATCCTTCCATTCTAACCCCCAGGTTTTTCCTCTCCATTCTGATTTTGTTTATTCACAAGCTAGGAATGATGCTTCCAGTCTTAATATAAACTTTCCCACACTGCCTTATTTGTTTCTTAGACCTGACCTGTAAGGATCACACTACATAGAAGATTTAAAACATTTATTCTTCCCCCTAGTCTAACTAGGCATCATTTTTCTTGTCTTGTCTGGGAAGCCTTTTGAAAACAAATGAGGTGTTTCATGCCGCTTTCCATGTAGCAACCTATCATATGGCTAATATCTAATTCACATCGGCAGGGGTAGCTACAAAATACATCAAATCTTTTTTGGTTAAGTTGTATCTTGGAAAAAAATCTTTAATGTATATGAAACACTTTGAAAAAATATTATACATAAGGAAAGTCCATGTAGTGGTATTTCATTCTCAGGGCTTCTATGAGCAAAGGTTATCAATAATACAAATGCATTTAATGCATTATGCTGTTTGGTAGAATTTCATGCTATTAAAATGAGTTGTGTTTGAATGGCTAAGTTGTGTGTGTCCCGGAGTGCAGACTGAATGTACAAGTATTAGGGACCACTCGTTATCCTGTCACGTAAATCATGTATTAGCTGTGTTTGTATAATAAAATTTTCCTTTTCAGTGAGATCATTTGGAAGTTTTCTTTTTTTAAAAACAAAAAATGTGTAGAGCAAGTGACCTGTACCAGATAAACTGATGGTCCCTGGGAAAATAACAGTGCTTTGAGACTGAAGTCCTTTGCTGATGGAACAAGTACACCATGGACCAGAGGAAGTGCAAACTTCTCCCGTGTTCCACCTCAAATGTGTCTCAATACTGATCTGGAAGGATTTGGTGCAATGGTGGTGAAAGTCTTTGTACCCATTTAGTTTATAGCTTCTTTGTTAAGGCTGCAAACAAGGATGCCAGTTACTGTGTCTGTTTTTACAATGTATTAGCTAATCCATTTTAACTAAGAATTAAAAAACCCTAATGTAGAAAAAAGCATGTTCAGCACATTAGCTAATCAAAATGAATCCTGGGGAGGAACTGGAGTTTCATCCTGAATGTATGTTAAAATTCAGCTCGCCCTATAGGCACTAAGATTTTAAAATGTGTTAGCCAACATATTTTAAAAATTAAACCTTTTTATCCTGGTCTAGAAAAGCCTTTAGTGCTAATTATGTTGCAATTTTTTGTGATATGAATGCTTGTCTCCTACGCACTGGACTGGAACTCCTTTCAGATAAACTACCATTGAGTTGTAAACACTTTCAGTCACTCTCATCCTAGGTTGGATTTGAAAGCGTTTGTAATCCATTAATCCCCGGAGTCATCTGCTTTCTTATGTCAGAATTTTCTGAAAGAAATGTACTTGTAACTTGCAGTGGAAAAGCTTTTTCTACATTTAAACGTTAAATTGGTTGACTATTATAAAGGCACTTGGAAAGCAGAAATACAGCTAATTGTTACTGCTTCCATTGAATTTCTATTTTTAGAGCATTGATGTGGTACAATTAAGGTTTCTCAGTTTCCCTTGTTCATATATACCTTTTCCAAATCTAATTAACCTTCTCCTTCAGCCTAATAGCCTACTAAGTCACATACAGTAAATGACTACCTTGCTCCCAAATACAGTTAGATTGTGTTTGTATTGACCAGCAAAAAAAGTATTGAAACTATTTTAGGGAAAACCAGGTGGGAGTGGTACCCCACCCCCACTTTAAACCATTAATGTATTAGTTATGTCAATTATAAATGAAGTGGCTGTTGATTTGGTCTGAAACTTTCCAAGCTCATTTCACTAAAAGGAAAGAAAAGGCAAAATCCAATGCTGTATCCACCAGGCCCAGCCATTTCACTGAGAGATTTTAAAAAAATGGAAAGTAGGTTGAATGTTATCTTTAACAGATGGTGTTCTTGTCTTTAATAGACATGTTTTTAAATAAAACTTTGCTTCTTTCCTGTAACTTTGTAAACGGAATTTGTCATTCTCCCTTCAGTGAAATGCATATTCTGGGAGTAATGCCAGTGTTCATGTCAAACAATCTTGGATTACTAATCTTGAGAAAATGTTTAATAAGTATATGAATGTTCTAAAAACTTCTGGTTCATTTGATTTTACTGTGAACTTTGCTAACGAGTAAAAAAAATTGATTAAAAACAATCTCTATTTTTCTGTATCCAAAACCTCAGTGACCTTTTGCATCACAGCTGCACTTTTGTATTTCCTCTCAGACAGTGTATTGATGGATGAATAATGAAAAGAAATATGGCAGTGTTGTTCAAAAATGTCTCTCTGGATAACCATTATTTAAAAAAAAATTATTATGGTTTTCAACAGCATTTTCCTTTCTTTACTTTTAGTTAGTGTTGATTTGCTGTGCAAGAAACTGGAGAGAGAAGAATTGCATACAAATATGATGTAGAATCAGAAGTGTAGCTTTTTTCTGTCAGCTGTATGATTTACAACTTATTAAAATATTATTTAACTAGATGAATTTGTTGTTAAAGATGACATGGGCTAATGCCAATAACTGGTTTTTGTCTCGGTTTAATATTTTATTCTTACATTAACACCTTTTATCCAGCAGGATCACAGATCACATTACAAATTCTTTCTATACATTGATATAATTCCCCTATTATCTAAATTAACAACATTTCAGGTGGTGTGTGCAGCCATTCTTCATTAGGAAAGCAACACAATGTTTTTTAGGAGTTGAAGTGAAGAATGGTTTTCTGCTTGAAACTGTTGTGGGAATGTTGATGTAATGTAAAATGTAATCAAGATAAAATAGCCATGACCACATTTTAATTAATTAATTTATTTATTTATTTAAATGAAGGTTGTCAGGACCTTAAATGGGATGGGGCCTGGTTATCACTGGTACCACGACTTTGCTTGTATGATAATGCAGCAGTTTAAGTCACCAAGAGTGCTCAATTTTAACATTTTACCTGATTTAATCATGATGAGGCTAGAGCCAGTGAATTTTAAATGAGGGATCTTCAGCTGGTAACTTCTCTTCCCCAGTTAGGGAAGTGTGAAACCAGACAGCAAGTGTGAAAAATCAGGACGGGGGTGGGGGGTAATAGGCACCTATATAAGACAAAGCCCCAAATATCGGGACTGTCCCTATAAAATCGGGACATCTGGTCACCCTATCCTCAGTTGGCTTATCAGAGTATAAATGAGCCAACACTGATCACACTGCAAGTTGTATCCGTTCTCCAGGGTTTTTTCTGGATGAATATTGTAGATGGGTGATGGTGCTCAGAAAGATTTAGTTTTGAAGGGATTATCCTATATTGGTAAAATGTCATTGTATAGTTTTTATAAAGATTGTGCACGAACCCAGAACACTGGATGGGTACATTTTAAAAAATGATATGAATAAATAAATAAGAGAAAGATGTCACCTCTATTAGCACAGTGCTTCCTAATAAAACTGAAGAGATACTTGAGGAAGGACCTGGAAGATATGGCAAGGTTTACACCTGCCCCTCTTATTGAGGGTGCATATCTGTCATTTATTCCTAAAGTTCACATTCTTGGTGCATTATTAAATTTCTAACTGCTGTTGAACAACTGTTTACCAGTAATATCTAGGCAAGTCTCTCTTTAATCTCAGTCTGCCCAGAAGATTTCAACTGTTTCTTACAGATACGGATTTCGATACCATAATCCATGCTTTTCTCAAAATTAATTTACTGCAGTACATTCTGCTCTGGGATCTATACTTGTTGCCTGATGGTTTCTGGGTAGAATTTAATTTGTTGGTTTTATCTATATCTTTGAACATACATGTTTGTTTCCCTGATTCTTGATCCATACCATAACTCAGAGCATCCTAAAGGCTACTTAATGTTTCATTAATAGAGGTTCCGTAGGGATTGCTGTGCTGGCCTCTTGTTACTGGAGTGCATTGAGCTTCAGCTCTCATCCTAACCTGACCAGGAAAGCTCACCATCTGGGTGGTGGGAGTGAACAGCATAAAGCTAGTTATATTAGCTTTATACCACTACCCAGGGGATTCCCCATACATTAGGGGAATCACTGGCTGCTGCGTTAGGGCAGTTCTTCACCCCCTTTGTGCTCCATGATCTAGCCCAGGGGTCGGCAACCTTTCAGAAGTGGGGTGCCGAGTCTTCATTTATTCACTCTAATTTAAGGTTTCGCGTGCCAGTAATACATTTTAACGTTTTTAGAAGGTCTCTTTCTATAAGTCTATAATATATAACTAAACTATTGTTGTACACCTCTACCCTGATATAACGCAACCCGATATGACACAAATTCAGATATAATGCGGTAAAGATCAAAGCAAGTTCGATATAACGCAGTTCCACATATAACACGGTAAGATTTTTTGGCTCCCGAGGACAACGTTCTATCGGGGTAGAGGGGTATGTAAAATAAATAAGGTTTTTAAAATGTTTAAGAAGCTTCATTTAAATTAAAATGCAGAGACCCCCGGACCAGTGGCCAGGACCCGGGCAGTGTGAGTGCCACTGAAAATCAGCTTGCGTGTCGCCTTCGGCACACATGCCATAGGTTGCCTACCCCTGATCTAGCCCTTAGTTTACAGTAAATAACATTCAAGCAATAAATACTTTCATACTTTGCTCTTGGTACAACAAAGTCAAGTAGTCTGATATTGCTCTTGTAGAATTAAGACTATAACATGTGACTAAAAAGAAATAGCGTTTAAGTTATGTACTTCTTTTGGCGAAATCATATTTTGGGGACTTAAAGTTCTGCATAAAACAACTGACCTGGTTCATGTTCTAGAAGCTTGGGAATCTGGCTACAAAATTTGACTATTAAGTGTTGGAAAAACATGGATAAAATTACAAGGATAGGTAACTTAGAACTACCTTAGGTAGATGAAATGTCAGAAATACTTAAACAACACTAACAAAAATTGTTTTTTTTAATGAAGCCTTTTTTAAAGATTTTGGAACTATTTCACAACTTGGACTAATTCCTTTGTTTAATGACTTATCTACAGAATATGAACTAGTATATATGGCTTCATCTTTCTTTACTCCTTTTTTGTTTCTTTTTTGTTTTTAAAGAGCGGTATAGAATCCAGAGTGAACAATTAGAAGACCTTTGGCTAATCACAAAAGAGCTCACTTTTCGTCTTCAAGAACATTTCAAGAAGGAAAATAGCAAAGACTTCACATGTACCTTTTCTGGTTCAGTTCCTTTACAAGAATATTTTGAACTAATTGATTGCCATTTTGAGGTATGTCTCACAATATTTAAGCTGTTGATAGATATGTCATTACTTTCTAATATTCAGTTTTGCTCACTATTAGTTGTCCCTAAACCCTACTACAGTATTTCTGCTTTTTTTCCCAAATGTTAACCGGAGCAACCCATTGCTACCTTAATGATGGGCTAGTGCATTAGAGCCTGCAATGCAGCTGTATTGAAGTTTGGCTTGCCTAGTGGTCTGAACTCAGGAATGGGAATCAGGATGTCTTATCTCTGATTTGACTCCCTTTGTGATGTTGGGCAAGTCACTTAACGTCTCAGTTTTCACATCTGGAAGATGGATATTTGTCTTTGCTTACTCTCACAGTTCAGGGCAACTGCACCTGTATTCCCCTTCCAGGGTCCATCAAAGGCATGCACTCTAGGCTCCTGGGTCCTCAGCCATCACCTATCTTCTGTAGAGACTGCATGTGTCTCCCTCCTGACTGGGATTTAGCCAGGCTTCACAGTTCCCTGCCTACACTGTGATATCCTCAGCAAACCAGACTTCCTAGAAGGCTAGTGTCTCCACTCTGCTTTCTCCTTAGAGGTTATGAACAGTGTAATTGCCCACAGTTACAACTTACCACACAGCTCTTTCTAAGCAAGCACATGTATTCTGAAGGTGAAAGCATTACAGACAAAACATACTAAAAACAATAAAAGAACCTACGTGGATGCTAAAAATCTTACCAGAGGTCATCCTAACTCCAAATTGGGCTCTGGTGGGTATCAGTTCTTCAAAATACACAGTGGGGTTTTCCCTGCGGTTACAAGTTCATAACAGTCTCTAATTCAGAACCAGAACAACCATGAATAGTTTGATTTTTCTCTTATAAAGCTTGGGCCTTTCATCTTGGTCTCATGTAGCAGGTGACCCATTCCTCAGGGCATAACTTCAATAATCAAAGGTGGTGTATTCACCTCACCCTAGACGATGAGTTCTCAAACTGGGGGTTGGGATCCCTCAGGGGGTTGTGAGGTTATTACATGGGGGGGTCGCAAGCTGTCAGCCTCCACTCCAAACCCTGCTTTGCCTCCAGCATTTATAATGGTGTTAAATACATGGGGGGTCACATTCAGAGACTTGCTATGTGAAAGAGGTCACCAGTACAAAAGTTTGAGAACCACTGCCCTAGACATTCCCCAGGAAAACCACTTAACAAATTTTGTTCCCAAAGTCCCTTCTTGTCTGGCACATTGTTCAGTATAGTCCTTTGAACCCACAGGTCTAACATATGTCCCATTTCCCATCCCCTCTCCCCCCATCCTGCCAGTGAGCAGTTACAGGCAATCCCACCCCACAATAATACAAAAACCATTAATTTAATACAGTGGACTCTGAAAAGACTTAAACTTAATTCAGTGAGTTCTCCCAAGGATATGGCAGGAAATTGCCATATCTGTCACACTTACATCTCAGAGCTATTAAGATTAATTAACTTTTTTATAAAGGTCTTTGAAAAGGTCTGTATTAGTGGTAAGCATTTATTTATTATGGAAGTTAATTTCTTAATAGAAAATTATTTAAGTCAGTGATGTTTAAATGTAATAAAGCCTAAAATTCTCTAGTGCTTGAACTCACATTATTTTAGCCATTACTGTCAAAAATGTAAAGTGTTGTTGAAAATTATTCTAAAAACCATTATTATGTGTTTAATTTCTGGAAGGTGGAGCATGTGTTAGCCTTGAGCAACCCTTGTGATTAGGGAGCATATGGTTTCCCTGGGCAAGTGATACAAGTGGGGATGATACTCTGTGTACTCTCCACATTGTGCATCTGGACAGGAGCTGACCATAATCTGGCTCTAAATTCCTCACTTACTCACTTCATTTTAATGGTGAGACTCGCTCTGGAATTTGTCGCTGGTGATGTGCCAACTTACATTTGCTATTTTTAACAATTTAATGCCATGATATTGAAGCCATGAACGTTTGTTTTGACTGACTCATTTTGTTAACCATAAAAAGTCCCTTTAGACTGAAAAACATTGACTTCCAGTTACCTCTTTTGTTAAGGCAGCATTACAAAATCATCACACACATTTGTTGGCCCAGGCACAAACCCTGCACAGTTTCCCTCCTGACCATGATGATAAAAAAATCCCAATATTTTAGCTAGCTTGTGTAAATTAAATAAAAAATAAAATAAACCAAACTAAATGTACTGCCCACCGCCCCAGGTAAGTTAGAATTTGGCAAGCTGCGTGAAAGAGAATAGCTCTTTGAAAACTGTTTCTTTTCAAAGGTAAAATACCGCAAGGTTCTCAACCTTTTTCTTTCTGAGGCCCCTCCACCAACATGCTATAAAAATCTCCATAGCCCACCTGCGCCACAACAACTAGTTTTCTGCATATAAAAGCCAGGACCAGCGTTAGGGGGTAGCAAGCAGTGCAATTGCCTGGAGCCTCATGCCACAGAGGCCCCCAGGAAGCTAAGTTGCTCAGGCTTTGATTTCAATCCCAGGTGGAAGGGCTCAGGGCCCCAGACTTCAGCCCGATGCAGTGGGACTTCAGCTTTTTGCCCTGGGCCCCAGCAAGTCTAACACTAGCTCTGCTTGGCGGACCCGCTGAAACCTGCTTGTGACCCCCTTGGGGGCCCCAGACCTCTGGTTGAGAACCACTGAAATACTGTATGTGGGGCAAAGGTGGTGACACATGGACATACAAATTAAAGATAATTTTTAAAAGTTCTGTCACATCACTCTGAGACATGGGGCCATCATGGAGAAAGACATAAGTTCCAGTCAGGATACCATAAAGTTTTGGAAGGATCTGTGTAGGCCTGAGCCTAGCTTCAGAGTCCCCCAGTAGTTTCGCAAAGTGAGTTGCATAAGTGTGCTCCTGCTTCCATCTGATCAATTTTTAGAAAAATGGTGTTGACCAAAATGAGTCAAAAAACAAGAAACACTGGGCATAAATATTTGTGCCTTGGAGTATCATTTCAACCTACATGGGGTTTATTTGACACATGGCTCCAAAAATAGTTTAAAAACTCTATTATAACCAAATCTAATTTTCCTTTTTAGTCACTGTATAACTCTTCTGAGTATGATCATTTTCTTTAATGGCTAATCTAAGACACAGCTCATATGGCTTTAGCCTGTATCCTTAGGCAATAATGGGATATGGCTCATGATGTATTATAGCTCATAGCCCTAGAGTTTTCTCTTTTTTTTGGCTGTAGTATGCTGCCATTTGGGTATTGAAGTTCTCTTGCATGAGAGAAAGCAACAGTCCTGAAACACCCAAAGATGCCAAAGCACGAGCATTACTATATTCTAAATAATGTAACATTTTTATTTGTTTAATTTATTAAATCTTTAGTGTGTGTAAAATTACGGAGAGTGCTGAGTGAATTCTGAAAAGGCTGGACTTATTATTAAGCGTTTATATTCTAGGAGTTGCCCCAAACCGGTAATGTAGATTAGGGCTCCGTTGTCTTGGGTGCTGAGCAAACAGAAGAGAGAGAGTCTCTATGCCAGAAACCCTGTAGACATGTATTTTTCTTTGCCTAAATTTTAAGTTTCCATGGCACATCCCTGCTTCATTTTGTTTCCCCCAAGTGGTTGAGTTGGATCACAAGCCTGTTTTCCATGATATCATTTTAATATTTTATTACATTTTCTCTAGCATCTAGTTATAATGTTTGTGTAAATCTTTGTATCGACCAGCCCAATTCTGCTCCCAGTGAAGCTAGCAAAACTCGCATTAACTATAATCAGAACAGGATCAAACCTAGAGAGATAAAAATAGAAGGTTGGATGTTGTTAACTGGCTAACTTTGACCAATCTTAAATAAATCGTGAAGCCTAAATAAGCCTAAATACATTTTGAAGTTTGAAAAACTGGTATGATTGTTACTATAGTAAGTTAGCTACCAATTAACATATCATAGCCTTTGTCCATTCTGATGGCTTGTGAAGGTGCATCAGTATTTATTATCTGGTTTAAGAGACTCCTCTCTCTTGAACAGAGCAAAGTTCTGTTCCGTGTTATCATGGCAATCCTCATGTTTCCCGCCCTGTTAATTTTGACAGACGCTTTTTTTTT